GTCTCTTTAAGGGGCAGGGAAGTGTGAGGGCAGTGTCCCTTTAAGGGGTGCTAACAGCATTCCAAAGTAATGGTCCTGTCTCTAAGGGGCATAAATGTGTAACAGAGCGAGGGCAGTGTCTCTTTAAGGGATACTAACAGTGTTCTAAAGTGATGGGCCTGTCTCTTTAAGGGGCAGGAAAGTGCGAAAGCAGTGTCTCTTTAAGGTGGGCTATAGTGTTCCAAAGTGAATGGTCCTGTTGCTTTAAGGGGCAGGAAAGTGTCTGGGCAGTGTCCCTTTAAGGGTTTTTGTCACAGCGTGCACAGACTTTCTATGAAGTTGGGGGCAATGATGTAGGGCAGAGACATTGCGCGTTTAAACGGTGGTTTCCAGGCAATTGGCTGATCCTGGAGAACACAAGGGGCCCCCTGTCTTTTCCATCACAGCCAACCAGCCCAGCTCCCAATGGGCGGGGATTGACTCCAGTTTCACAATCACAGGAAAGGAAGCAGAGGGGAAGACAGTGGGCTGTCTGCTCATCTCTGTCTGTCTGTCTCTCTGTCTCTCTCTCTCTCTCACACACTGTCAACAAACATCATGAACAGTTGGAACAACCAGGGACTAAGCAGTCTGAACTAAACCAGACTCTCACACCCAAAAAAAAATCGGTGAGTACTCTGCTTCCCAACTCCTTTTGAAAACAGAAAGTTGTCAGGATAAGTTTCCTGAGTTTTGAGCTGAACAATTCTGCAACCCTGCCTTTTCTCTTACACACCTCGGTGTTTCCTTTTTTTCCCGTTTGTTGAAGACAGTTTACTGCTTAGCTTGTTTAATGGTTGTAAGGCAATGTTGGCGAGTGTCCCGACAAATCAGGCTTTCAGCAATTTTAAAACAAATTAGTTCAATGTTTTGAATCATAGAATCCCTACAGTGTGGAAACAGGCTCTTTGGCCCAACAAGTCCACACTGACCCTCAGAGCATCTCACCCAGACCCATCCCCCTATAACCCACCTAAGCTACACATCCCTGAACACTACGGGCAATTTAGCATGGCCAATCCACCTAGCCTGCACATCTTTAGACTGTGGGAGGAAACCGCACACAGACAGAGGGAGAATGTGCAAACTCCACACAGACAGTCACCCAAGGGTGGAATCGAACCCGGGTCCCTGGAACTGTGAGGCAGCGGTGCTAGCCACTGAGCCGCCCCAAATGTTTTGGTTTGGAAACGTTTAGTCTTGCAAGAGGGGTAAACCGCCTGAGTTTCTGGATGAGGCTAGTGGGCGTGGGTGTGGTGGGGCGTGGCAAGGGTCAGGGGTGTACAGGGGCATGGGTTATACAAACCAGAAGATCAGAGGGACCAACTTGGTTAGGGGTCCCAGACTCGAACCCTTTTTGAAACATCATTGACCCGGCTTCTGACTGTGGGCCAACGCTGATTGTGAAGTCTTTTTTTGTTTGGGGGGTGGGGCGAGGGCTTGTATTCAAGGAAGTTGGCACCACAACAGATGGGCCGAAGGGCTGTCTCTGTGTTGTCAGAAACCAGCCGTTTTTTCAGGGTAAGTGCAGAAAGGTGCTCAGTTTCATTTGTTCGTTGGGTTGGGCCCACAATAGTTCCCCGTTCCACCTTAGAGAAGGTGGGTGAGCTGTCTTCTTGAACCGCTACAGTCCCTGCATGTGGGGCTAGGGGACCGTGCTGTTAGGGAGGGAATTCCAGAGTTTTGACACTGAAGGAACGGCCAATGTATTTCCAAGTCTGTGAGTGGCTTGGAGGGGAGTGCTGTTCACATGTACCTGCTGCCCTTGTCCTTCTAGATGCAAGGGGCTCACTGGTTTGGAAGGTGCTGGCTCAGGAGAGTCGCAGCGGTGCGTCTTATAGACGATACACACTGCTGCGACTGAACGTCGGTGGTGGAGCGAGCGGATGTGGAGCCAATCAAGCGGGGTCTGCTTTGTCCTGGATGGTGTTGAGCTTCTCGAGTGTTGTTGGAGCTGCACACATCCAGGGCAAGCAGAGAGTATTCCATCCCATTCCCGACCTGTGAGGCAGCTTGCTGTGCTGGGAGGAATACAGAATTTGGCTCTTACAGAGTCAGAGAGTTAAACAGCATGGAAACAGACCCTTTGGTCCAACTTGTCTGTGCCGACCAGATATCCTAAAGTCCCATTTGCCAGCATTTGGCCCATATCTCTCTCTAAACTCCGGTGCAATTATTTTCTGATGCAATTATAAAGGATTTGAGGAGCAAACAAATCAGAAGTCTTGATGATACAAGCTGTGAAATCTCACTGACGGATTTTATTCGGAGTCCTACCCTAGAAGGAATTTTAAGTTTACGGAGGAACCTGGTGAAAGGGCTGCTGGAACCCTGTGTGCAGTTCTACATAGAAACTACATAAAATAGGAGCAGGAGTAGGCTATTTGGCCCCTCATGCCTGCTCCGCCATTTGATACTATCACGACTGATCGTCTAGTTCAGTCCCCTGTTCCCTTCTTTCTCCCCTTTAGAACTGTATCCGACTCCTTCCTGAAAACATCTGATGTTCCAGCCCCGACCACTTTCTGTCGTGGAGAATTCCACAGGCTCCCCACTCTCTGGGTGAAGACATTTCTCCTCATCTTAGTCCCACCCTTTAGACTGTGACTGCCATCACCCATCAGGAACGTCCTTCCTGCCTTTATCCCTGTCCAGTCCTGTTAGAATTTTATAGATTTCTATGAGATTCTCCCCTAAACTCCAGTGAATATCATCCTAACCTACACAGTGTCTTTTTGTACGTCAGTCCTGTCATCCCAGGAATCAGTCTGGTAAACCTTTGCTGCCCTACCTTGGTAGCCAGAAGTTTGTTGGGATAGTTTGCCAAATGAAAGGGGTAACATGGGCTGCAAGTTCCTGGAATGTCCCTGGAATGTCCTGAATGGAATTTGTGTGTGGTCTATATAGTTGTTGGCCAAAGGAACTCTGGAGGGTGCCCCCGGCCGGTGGTAACTGACTGGGCGATGGAGCTGAGAAGGAGAAAATTGCAAGGGAACCGGGCTGATCTCCACTGACCCCCACAGCCCCAGTCCCTGGGAAGTGCGGCATCTCGTACAGGAAGAGGATGTTGTCGGTGAAATTGCCGCAGCTTTTAAACAATCACCAAGTCCCCAGGGTAAGTCCGATCTCTCCGAAATCTTCAGAGCTAAGGGATTCAAGTAGAAAACTCTCAGCAGCGCTGGCGGTATCTGCAGAGAGTGAGTGTGAGAGAGAGAGAGAAAGAGTTAACGTTTCCAGTTCTGTATGACTCTTCAAGAGTTCAGTCAAAGTGGTGTGGCCACTGTGTGGATTAAAGAAAGCCCCAGCGTTGGGCAGCTTGTTTATCTGTGCACATATACCCTTAAGGGCACTGTTTGTGACATTGTGTTAAGTGGCTATGACAACATTTCCCATTAGGCTTTGCTGGTGAAGTGGCACAGTGTAGTTCCAGACTGTGGCCACTGAGGGCGGGGATAGGTGTAGAGCAGGCTGCTCACTCTAGGTAGATGGACAAGATCCTACGACTACTGTTGGCATAAGAGAAGGTTTTGGGCATGTGTCAGGGAGCTTCGTTGGAGGAGGAAGGAGTTCACTGCAACATGGTGCCAATTTTTATCCCTCGACCAGCGTGTGGCGCTCTGGGTCGGTCTGCTGCAATCCATGGGATCTTGCTGGGCACCTGGCGGCTGCCGCGATTCTCGCAGTGGGACGTTGACCAGGCTGTTGGTTGCCAAGGGCTTCGGGAAGCTTTGAGGTGGGTTGGAAGGTGCTATCAAAATGCACGTTCACCGTCGCTCCGTTCCTGGCCTGTGCAGGTATTCCGGGAAGATGGGATTATCTCCGGCTACCGCCACCCAAGGAGCTCAGCCCTGGACTGTCTCCTCAGCAGCTTTCAGATGACAAACGAGACCGTGAACATTTGGACGCATTTTCTCCCGACATGGTAAGCTGCGATCTGCCTGGGCTGGGTGGCAAGGGAGTTGGGGTCCAGAGGGTGTTAGGACACCATTCTTATAGTCGTCAATTCCTTATAACGGTATCAACAGCAAGAAATAGACCATTTGCAACCCCTCTGCTCTAGACTGGTATTTCAGCTGTACACCAGCCTCCTCCATTTCCCCTGCCCTGTCTCTGTCTCTCTGTCTGTCTCTCTGTCTCTGCGCCCCCCTCTCTCTTTGTGTCCCTCTGTCTCTCTCTCTCTCTGTCCCCGCCACCCCGCTTCCTCTGGTCCTCTCTGTCTCTCTCTCTCTGCCCCCCGCTCTGTGTCTTTTTGTCCAAGTTTAATTTGGACAAATGTGTCTTGGAAAAACAAATAAAGACAAGACTTATACAATTAAAAGTAGGGCCTTGGGTAGTGTTGTAGAACAGAGAGACCTAGGGATTCAGGTACATAATTCTTTGAATTTTGCATCACAGGTAGACAGGATGGTTAAGAAGGTGTTTGGCATGCTTGCCTTCATTGCTCAGACCTTTGAGTATAGGAGTTATTATGTTGAGGTTGTACAGGGCGTTGTTGAGGTCTCTTCTGGAGCACTGTGTCCAGTTCTGGTCTCCCAGTTATGGGAAGGATATTATTAAGCTGGAGAAGGTTCGGAAAAGATTTACCAGGACATTGCCGGGAATGGAGGGTTTGAGTCATAAGGAGCGGCTGGATAGGCTGGGACATTTTTCCCTGGAGTGTAGGAGGTTGAGAGGTTTAGAGGTTTATAAAATAATGAGGGGTATAGATAAGGTGAATGGCAGGTATCTTTTTCCATAGAGTGGGGTATTTCAAGACTAGGGGCATATTTTTAAGGTGAGAGGAGAAAGATTTAAAAAAGGTAGGAGTGGCAAATTTTTTTACACACAGTGGTTCGTGTGTGGAATGAACTTCCAGAGGAAGTGGTGGATGTGGGTATGTGTACAATGTTCAAAAGACATTTGGATAAGTATGTGAAAAATAAGTGTTTGGCGGGATATGGGCCAAGAGCAGACAGGTGGGACTAGTTTAGTTTGGGATTATGGTCGGCATGGACTGGTTGGACCGAGGTTTCTATTTCCATGCTGTTTGTCTTTATGACCCTACATTGCAAATTTATCCCCTCTGGAAGTGTGCCCCTCCTGTTTGGTTTAGGATGTTGTTTTTGATGTTATTAACGTCCTATTTGCTTTGTGGCTCATGCCCCACCCCAACTGAAACAGGGGGCTGATCGACCACAGGGGGCATCACCTTTAACACTGGTGTGGACTCCAGCAAAGAGGCAGTGGAGGTTGGGGGTGGTGCGGTTCTGGTAACCTGCTCCTGATTCTAATGGGCTCTGGGGACACTGAGAGCAACTTGTAAGAGAAGAAAATCATTTGTGGGAAGTGAGCATCGTTGGGGAGGGCATTATTCGTTGGAACGTCCGCAATTGGGGCAGCACGGTGGCTCAGCGGTTAGCACTGCTGCCTCACAGAGCCAAGGACTGGGGTTCGAATTCACCCTCTGAGGGCGACTGTCTGTGTGGAGTTTGCACATTCTCCCTGTGTCTGCGTGGGTTTCCTCTGGGTGCTCTGGTTTCCTCCCACAGTCCAGAGGTGTGTAGGTTAGGGTGGATTGGCCATGCTAAATTGTCTCGTAGTGTTCAGGGATGTGTAGATTAGGTGGGTTATTGGGGTATGTGTCCGGGTGGGATGCTCTGAGGGTCGGTGTGGACTTGTTGGGCCGAAGGGCCTGTTCCCACACCATAGCAGTTTCTGTCATATGAATTGACCCTTGAATTGAAGTATGAGTGTGCACATCCACAGACTCTTGAAGGTAGCTAAACAGAGAAATATGGTGCTTTATGAGAGAGATAGTATACCCACCTCCTTTAATCACAGAAACAGACCCTTTGGCCTGACTCGTTCCCGTATACCAGATCTCCTAAACTGAGCTTGCATTTGGCCCATATCCCTCTAAACCTTTCCTATCCATGTATCTGTCCAGATGCCTTTTTAAATGTTGTAATTGTACCAATCTCCACCACTTCCTCTGGCAGCTTGTTTCATACACGCATCACCCTCTGTGTGAAAAAGTTGCTCCTCAGGTCCCTTTTATATCTTTCCCCTCTTACCTTAAACCTACGCCCTCTAGTTTTGGACTCCCCACCCCAGGGAAAAGACCTTAGCTATTCATCTTATCCATGCCCCTCATGATTTTATAAACCTCTGTAAGGTCACCCTTCAGCCTCCGATGCTCCAGGGAAAAATGCCCCAGCCTCTCCTTATAACTCAAGCCTTCCAGTCTTGGTAATATCCTTGTAAATGCTTTTCTGCACCCTCCCTGGTTTAACTACGTCCTTCCTATCGGGAGAATGACCAGAATTGTACTCAATATTCCAAAAAGTGGTCTCACCAATATCTTGTACAGCCACAAAATACCATCAGGCCACTGCCCCCTCTGGTGAATCATAGAATCCCTACTGTGTGGAAGCAGGGCATTCGGCCCATCGAGTCCATGCCACCCGGCTGAAGAGATCCCAACCAGACCCAGCCTATAAGCCTCCCTTTCAAATCTTTCCCCTCTCACCTTAAACCTATGCCCTCTATCTCCTACATTTGGAAAAGGACCTTGGCTATTCACCTTTTCTATGCCCTTCAGGATTTTATAACCTTCTATGAAGTCACCTCTCAGTCTCCGATACACCAGGGAAAAGATTCCTACCCTCTCCTTACAGGTCAAACCCTCCAGTCTCGGTAACATCCTTGTAAATTCTTTGTTGTACCCTTTCCAGTTTAATAACATCTTTCCTTCAGTAGGGTGACCAGAATTGTATTCTGTGACTTGTGACTGTATTCACTGGAGTTTATCATAGAATCCCTACAGTGAGGAAACAGGCCCTTCGGCCCAACAAGTCCACACCAACCTTTGGAGCATCCCACCCGTCCCCGTCCCCGTCCCCGTCCCCGTCCCCGTCCCCGTGGGTGATTTAGCACGGCCAATCCACCTTGCCTGCGCATCTTTGGACTGTGGGAGGAAACTGGAGCACCCAGAGGAAACCCATGCAGACAGGGGGGGAATGTGCAAACTCCACACAGATGGTCACCCGAGGGTGGAATCGAACCCGGGGCCCTGGCGCCATGAGGCAGCAGTGCTAACCACTGAGCCACTGTGCTGCCCCATTTAGGAGAATGAGGTTGGAGATCTCATAGAAGCCTATAAAATTCTAGTGGGACTAGACAGGGGTAAAGGCAGGAAGGATATTCCTGATGACTGGGGTGGGAATGGGAGGAAAGAGTCCAGATCCAGGGATCACAGTTTAAAGGAGACGGGGTTGGACTGAGATGAGGAGAAATGTCTCAGAGAGCAGGGGTCGCCTGTGGAATTCTCTGCCATGGAAAGCGGTCGAGGCCGGAACATTGAATGTTTTCAAGAAGGAGTGAGATGTAGTTCTAAAAGGCTCAAAGACCTCTGCTATTCACCCTATCCATGCCCCTCATAATGTTATAAACCTCTATAAGGTTCACCCTCCTACACTTCAGGAAAAAATAAGTTCCAGCCTCGCCTTATAACTCAAACCCTTCAGTTTCGGTAACGTCCTCGTAAATCCTTCGTTGTACCCTTTCCAGTTTAATAACACGCTTCTTACAGCAGAACTGTACACGGTATTCCAAATGTGGCTTTGGCAATGTCCTGTACAACTGCAACGTGACATCCCAACTCGTACGCTGAAAGACAGAAACAGTGTTGATGGAAAAGCCCAGCAGGTCTCAAAGCATTGACCAATAAAGTGTGCAAAATGCTTTCCTCACCTGTGATGCCACTTTCAAGGAACTGTGAAGAACAAGAGAAGGGAGGTTGCGGTATGTAACATTAGTTTAGGCTACTGTTGGAGTGTTGTGTGCAGTTCTGGCCTCCACACTGTAGGAAGACCGTGATCGCTCTGCAGGGAGGGTGCAGAGGAGATTTCCCCAGGGCAGCATCTGTGAAGAAAAATATCAGAGTTAACGTTTCAAGTCCAGTGACCCTTCCTTGGAACAGTTCTGGGTGTGAGAGGACCTGACAGAGGTGTACAGCCCCTCTGTGGGGCAGAGATAGGGAAAATCCCTTCCTTGGTCAGTAACTGGGGGGGGGGACACTGGAGGAGCAGGAGGCATAGAGGGGACGTCCTTTATTCGTTAACAGGATGAGGACATTGCTGGCTAGGCAGCATTTATTGCCCATCTCTAATTACCCAGAGGGCAATTCAGGGTCAACCAGATTGCTGTGGGTCTGGAGTCACATGTAGGCCAGACCAGGTAAGGATGGCAGTTTCCTTCCCGGTAGGATATTAGTGAACTAGATGGGTTTTTCCTGACAATTGACAATGGATTCATGGTCGTCATTAGACTCTTAATTCCAGATATTTTATTGAATTCAAATTCCACCATCTGCCGTGGCGGGATTCGAACCCAGAATGTTATCTGGGTTTCTGGATTAACAGTCCAGCGATAATACCACTAGGCCATTATCATCAAGAGGTTGGTGGGAATCTGAACTACATTGGGGAAAAAAAAATATTGAGCTGAGCGCTTGAACCAAAAATAAATCACAGCATACTAGGCTACGAGCTGAGTGCTGGCGGGGTGGGGGCGCTGCGGGGGGGATGGGATAGCATGGAGAGCTGCTTTGATCACTGGAGTGGATGTAATGGGCCGAATGGCCTCTTTCCGTGCTGCAGGACCCTACAACACTAAACGTGATGAACTGGGGCTTTCTCTTAGGAGTCAGCCCCATCGCTCTGGGTTGGGCCTGGAGTCACGTGAGGGTTCGGACTGGGTACGGATGGGTGTGTTTCCCTAATCTCTCAACCCATGCGCGTTGTCACGAGAATCGGTGACTCCCCATCTCCAATCCCTGGATTTGGTCAATTTAGTCCGTTTCGGTTGCGCTAGAATGGAGTATCCTTTTATTGTCACATAAAGGGGTGCGCGGTGGGATTTGAACCCAGAGCTTGTTGGGTGGGGATTATTGGTGGTGGGTTTCTGGATTACTGGCCCAGCAACGTTCCCTCGACTTGAGGTTTTATGCTGTTGCTGCTTCCTTTCTGTCCCTAAGCTGAGGTATTGGTGCTGTTGACTGTGGATAGTGCCTTTGGGAGATTACTGACGGTGGAAATGATTGCTGTGTAGCTGGCCCTCATGGTTGTCTTCCTGCTTTGCTGCAGGTACTTTCTATGGAGGTTCCTGGCCCTGTCGCACTCTATGGACTTCTATAATGAGGCTTACGCCTGGCCGCTGTTGGTCTACATGTTGGTCATCTGCCTGTACCCCTTCATTTCCAGCTGCGCCCACACCTTCAGCACCATGTCCGCTCACGTCCGACACGTCTGCTACTTCCTCGACTATGGTGCCCTCAGCCTCTACAGCCTGGGTACGGTCGCACTCCCTCGCTCCTGCTGTCGACCCAGCGTATCCCGGTCTCGGTGCGTGCCAGGAGTCATCGTGGGGGCGCCATTTGTTGCTCAGTTTGGCGCTTCTGGCGTGTCGGGGGTGCTGTGATGGTCGGGGGGTGGGGGTGTGTGTTGTGCGCACACGGAGAGGGGATGGAGATAGACCACACGGAGATGTGTCAACCATAATCTCAAACTAAACTAGTCCCACCTGCCTGCTCCTGACCCATATCCCTCCAAACCTTTCCTATTCACGTACTTATCCAAATGTCTTTTAAACGTTGTAACTGTACCCACATCCACCGCTTCCTCTGGAAGTTCATTCCACACACTTTGTGTTTTTGTTTTCAAAAAGTTGCCCCGATGTCCTTTTCAAATCTCTCTCCTCTCACCGTAAAAGTATGCCACCTAGTCTTGAAATCCCCCAACGCTAGGGAAAAGACACCTGCCATTCACCTTTTCCATATAAACCTGTATAACATCGCCTCTCAACTTCCTACGCTGCAGTGAGAAAAGCCCCAGCCTATCCAGCCTCTCTTTATAACTCAAACTCTCCATTCCTGGCAACATCCTGCGAAATCTCTTCTGAACCGTCTCCAGTTTGATAATGTCCTTCCTGTAACGGGGCGACTAGAACTGCAAACAGTGCTCCAGGAGAGGCCTCACCAAGGTCCTCTCCAACCTCAACATGACAATGAGAGAGAAACTCCTGCTCGTTTCCCTGTGTCCTGTATTGCCCTCCCCTCTTCACCCTCCACTCCCCTCCCCCGTCTTCCACCCGCCCCCGGCTCCCTTTACCCCCACCACCGCACTGTCTCCCTCTGTATCTCCCTTCCCTCTTCACCCTCTACTCTCCTCCCTCGTCTTTCCCTCCCTCCCCCACTACCTCCCTCTGAATCTGGCTTCCCTCTTGTTTACCCTCTGGGGGACAGTAGGAGAAAAAGATGGAAGGGAGAGACAGATGGGGACAGATGGGGAAGGATATTATTAAGCTGGGGAGGGTTCAGGAGAGATTTACCAGGATGTTGCCAGGATTGGAGGGGTTGAGTTATAAGGAGAGGCTGGATAGACTGGGACTTCTTTCACTGGAGTGTAGGAGGTTGAGCGGTGACCTTATAGAGGTTTATAAAATCATGAGGAGTATAGATAAGGTGAATGGCTGGTGTCTTTTCCCTAGAGCGGGGGATTTCAAGACTAGGGGCATATTTTTAGGTGAGAGGAGAAAGATTTTGAAAAAGACACGAGGGGCAATTTTTTTTATGCAGAGAGCAGGTCATGTGTGGAATGAACTTCCAGAGGAAGTGGTGGATGTGGGTACAAAGTTGAGATGACATTCGGATGAGTTTGTGATTAGGAAAGGTTTGGAGGGATCTGGGCCAGGAGGTGGCAGGCGGGACTAGACTAGTTTTAGATTATGGTCAGCATGGACTGGTTGGACTGAAGGGGGTCTGTTTTTGTGCTGTATGACTCTGAGAGGGAGAGGGGGAAGCAGAGAAAGATAGAAGAGAGAGACGGAGGGAGATGTGGACAGAGGGGGAGGGTGAGATGGAAGGAGAGGGAAATGGGGAAGAGCGAGATGGAGGGATAGAAGGTCAGGGAGGGGAGAGGGGACAGGAAGACATAGAATGTGCAATTGGGAGTTGGGGAGAGACAGCCGGGTGTAGAGGGAGAGAGAGAGAGAGTGTGAGAGACAGAGGAGATGAAGGAGGGGTGGAGATAAGGAGGCAGAGGCATGGAGAGCTCAGTGCTTGAGGCAGCACAGCTGACAATGGTGGAGCGATGAAAATCCAAGAGGACTCAGTGAGAGGAGAGCAGAGAGCTCCTCCCCAAGATGCCTAGAGCCTGGATTGTGGCCTACACGCTCGCTCTCTCTCTCTCTCTCTCTCCTTTCCCACACCTCCCCAGCTCTCTCCAGGTTTGCAAATGAGTGGTACCAGCCTGAGATCTAATTCTGTTGGGAACTGTCAGGTCGCTTTTGGTGCTGGGCAGGGTATGCCAGCTGGCCCTGTGTGGCTTTAAGTCAAATAAGCCTGACTGAGAGGGGGGGAGAGAGAGAGAGAGAGAGAGAGACAGAGGCATTGTATGCGGGGATAAAGAACTGATTCACCATTTTGTTATTGAGTGCTGAATTAATTTTCCAGTGGGCAAACTGCTCCCTTTGTCTTTATCCACAATGTAACCCTGCCAGCAAGCCTCTGGAAGCAGGAAGTGAGCGTTTAGCCTGTTTAAACAGAGGAACCATTGCTTATTTCACTGGCGACTTGCAGAGGATGGGACACCCAAGTCACTGACAGCGGAATTTATCCCCGTGCCCTGTGGGAAGCTAGGCTGAGGCGCCTAAAGTTGTGGGGCCTAGTCGGAGGCCCAGAGCGAGGAAAGGCCCAGGCTTCACTTCCGGCCTGTGCCGGGCCGCGGTTTAAAACCTTTACGGGAAGTGGGGGGCGGTGGGGTGGTTTAGTCTGGATCCTGGGGAATTGTGCCTCATCCCAACACTGATCCCGGTTTCTCTGTTGCAGGGTGCGCCGTCTCATACAGGGCCTATGTCATGCCTGACCAGTGGATTAACAGCACCCTCCACTGCTACTTCACCCATGTGGCTGTCTTCAACTCCTTGGTCTGCACCACACTCTCCTGTTACTCCAGGTAGGTACGACACGGGTGTGATGAGGCTCCGACCGGGCCCTAGGAGACGTGTCCAGATCAGGCCCCAGGCCAGGAGAGACAATCTCAAACCAGGCCTCGGTAAATGTTCTGGGACTAGGCCCCAGTACCTCAGTGACAAAACCTTAAAAAAGGCCATGGATGACACATCCAATACCAGACCCCGGGAGAAACACACCCAGACGCGGCCCCAGGTCCTGGGAGACTCGATTGGACCAGGTCCCATGACCTGAAAGACACTTCCTGCCAGTCTTCAGGACTTGGGAGATGCACTAGGAACAGGCCTCAGGGCCTGAGTGACACTCCCAGACCAGGCCCTGGATGGCAGACCTGGCCTTGTATAGGATATTGAAGCCCCTTCTGGAGCACTGTGCGCTGTTCTGGTTGCTCTGTTATAGGAAGAATGTTATTAAACTGGAGAAGGTTCAGAAAAGGTTTACCAGGATGTGGCCGTTATAAGGAGAGGCTGGACAGGCTGAAACTTTTTTCACTGGAGTGTAGGAGGTTAAGGGGTGACCTTATTGAAGGTTATAAAATCATGAGGGGTACAGATAAGTTGAATGGCAGGAGTCTTTTTCCTAAGGTGGGAGAGTTCAAAACTAGGGGACATATTTTTAAGGTGAGAGGAGAAAGATTTTAAAAAGGACATGAGGGGCAAATTTGTTTCTATACAGAGAGTTGTTCGTGTATGGAATGAACTTCCAGAGAAAGTGGTGGATGTAGGTACTAAAAGCATTTAAAAGCCACTTGGAATAAGTATGTGAATGGGAAAGGTTTGGAGGAATATGGGCCAAGCGCAGGCAGGTGGGACTAGTTTAGTTTGGGATTGTGGTTGGTGTGGACTTGTTGGACTGAAGACTCTATTTCCATGCTGTCTGACTCTATGACAATGACCAGGCCCCAGGACCTGGGAGAAGTGTCCAGACCAGGTCCCATGACCTGAAAGACACTCCCCTATCGGGCTTCACGATCCAGGAGATGCACCAGGCCTCGGGGCCTGAGTGACACTCCCGGACCAGGGCCTGGATGATACACTGGATTTCAGGCCCCAGGAGGGCTCCAGGACCAGGCCCCATGGTTTGAAAGACAATCTCCCACCAGGCCTTAGGACCCAGGAGTCGCTCTGGGATGAGGGACCAGGCCCTGAGTGACACATGCCCAAACCAGACTTCAGGGCCTGAGTAACAGATCCAGACCAAACCTGGGTGATACATTGGGCTCCGGGCCCCAGGTCCTGAAAAACGGTCCCCTACTAGGCTCTAGGACCCAGGAGATGCACCTGGACCAGGCCCCAGGTGTGCCTCTCAGACCGGGCTCTGGGACCAATGCCTGGAACAGGCCTCAAGGGCCCAGGGCTCGGAGGAAGTAAATCCAGGGGCCACACGGCACTCCGGCCACTCTGAGTGAGCTGTGCAGTACCGCTTTGAGTACGATTACAGTCTGGAGAGAGAGCTATTTGTAAATCTACAGCCTTCTGACTCTGGGCTGAGAGAGCTGCCATCACTTGGCAGGAGGATTAATCCATGTGCTGCCTTTCAATTAACGTCTTTCCGGTTGCGTGTTTTTGTATGCTTCCAGGTTCCTCGAGATCGAACAGCCTAAACTGAGCAAAACACTGCGGATAACAGCATTTAGCTACCCGTTTCTGTTTGACAATATCCCACTATTCTACAGGGTAAGCAAACAACTAACTAACTAACTGGTTAGTACCTAAGGAATAAGGTATGCCTGTCCGAAAGTGTACAGACCCCGTCTTTGTGCACATGCGTTTAAGCATGTCTGTCAGTCGATGTCAACACCCGTTAAATGAAAGGCAGGCAGAAGTGGCTTGGGAGTCACAACTGCGCCACCGCTGGCTGGGAGGGTGTAACTGCAGTGTGACGTGTTTACATAGGATTTTCTATGTGGTTACACGGTGGGTGGGGGAGTTGGGATAAATCCAGAGGGTGAGATTTTGCGTGCAGGAAGGAGCGACCCGGGGTGGCGGAGGAAGAGGGTGGCAGGGAGGGATAGAAGGGCAGGGTGTGGTGGGGCGGATAGGGATGGGGACAGAGAGGGTGCTGGGGGAGGGAGGGTAGGGGAGAGAGGTAGAGGAGGAGCAGGGTGTGGAGGAGGGAGGAGCATGAGGGAGAGGGGTTAGAGAGGGAGAGAGGAGGAGTGTGAGAGGGGACGGAATGGAGGTGGGAGAGGGGAGGGAGAGTGGGAGAGAGGGGGGTAGGGGTGTATTTGAAACAGAATGTTTGCCTTCACAAGGAAGTGAGAGAGAATGAGGGAGAGTTGCTAATTTTTCCTGCTTCTTTCCCTCCCTGTCTCTCCCTCTCCCCCACAGATCCTACTTTGTTGGGGTGAGGGTTGTAGTCATAATGATGCTGTACCCACACATTACCATCACCTGGTCTTTGCCTTCCTCACATGCTTCCTGTTTGCTTCCCACCTCCCGGAACGCCTGGCTCCCGGCTGCTTCGATTACATCGGTGAGTCTCGGGATAGTGTGGGGGCGTGTCAGTGTGGGGGTGTGAGTGTGTATGTGAGCATTTGTCAGGGAATGTATGCTTGTGTGTGCAGAGGGGTTTATGTAGGTGTGTGTGTGTGTGGTGGCATGTGTCGGGAAAGTGTCTGTGTGCATGGGGGGGGTGCGTGTGTGTTGGGGGGGCCGCAGGGAAGTGAGTGGGGTGGGACACGTGTGTAGGGCTGGGTTGACAGGAAGAATGGCGCCCATGTGCGGAACTGGCCACTCTGCCAAGACTCTGTCCAAGCCGGGTCTGCAACTAATGTCTTCTTTCTCTCCCCCCTTCTCTCTTCTCTCTCCTCTCTTCTCTCTCCTCTCTTCTCTCTCCTCTCTATCTCTCTCTTCTTTCTCTCTCTCTTCTCTCTTCTTTCCCTCTCTCTCACTCTTTCTCTTTCTTTCTCTTTCTCTCTCTCTCTTTCTCTTTCTCTCTCTCTTTCCCTCTCTCTCTCTTTCTTTCTCTTTCTTTCTCTTTCTTTCTCTCTCTCTCTTTCTGTCTCCCCCTCTCTCTTTCTCTCTCTCTCTTTCTCTCTCTCTCTCTTTCTTTCTTTGTTTCTTTCTCTCTCTCTCTCTCTCTTTCTCTCTCTCTCTCTCTTTCTTTCTCTCTCTCTCTTTCGCACACCTGCCTCATCGCTGTCTTTGTCTGTCTCTCTTCCTCCCCAGGTCACAGCCACCAGCTATTCCACATCTGCGCCATCGTGGGTACCCACTTCCAGCTGGAGGCTATCGTTCTGGATATGTCGTGCCGTCATGCCTGGCTGCTCGCTCACACGCCCCTGCCATCCCTGGGGGGCACCCTGGGGGTGGTGCTGGTCTCCATGGTCCTCAACTGCCTGGTCATCGGGATCTTCGTCCTGCTGTTACTCTGGGCTCCACGTTCCTCCCCGTTTCTGCAGAGTCACGTTCCCAATCGATTCAAGCAGAAGCGGGAGTGACCCACCCACGATCCCGTTTTACACCCACCTCCCACCCCTGCCACCCCGTCGTCAGATGGGTGATGTGGTTGAGCCCTAACAAGATGCCAATCTCGCCCATCTCCTCTTTTGGAGGGGTGGGGGGCAGGCGCAAGAAACGGGGGACGGTGGGGGAAGACGTGACTCCCATTTGCGACCCCTTCTGACCCACCTTGCCCTTGCCCCCGCCCCATCACGTACCACCTTCCCCCTGCTCCCGCCAACTCAGTCCCCTCCGACATTCCTGGCACCATGACCCTCTACCGCCATTGGTTGGTTCTGATCACCCTCTGCTCGAGCTCGTCCAACCCTGTCCCTCCTTCCGCTGAGCTTTGCCCTCCACTGGCGCTGCCCTCCCTCCCCCCACCCAACTACCCTCCCGCACCCTCAGTCACACAGCTACGTTGGCAAGAATGGAATGCTTTCATGCCCATCTTGAGCCCTGGATGAAGGACTGTGGGCTGCATGGTGTGATGGAAGGGCCGGCATGGGTGTAAAAGGCTGAATGGCCTCCACATTTGCCACGCACTCGCCATTTATTGTTCCCTCCCCCAACCTTTAGCTGGTTTTAAAGCCCAGTTTCTCACTAACACTTTGAGGCCATTGTCTGCCCTGTTTAATGTTACCAGGCTCCGCCAATCTCCCTCAGCAAGGTGTGCCACACAGGGATGGTATGTTTGGCATGTAATGTCGCAAGGTGATTCCCCTTTGCTGTGTGTGAACAGAGGCACCCATATACCTTTTCTATCTGGGGTGTTCCCACTTAATAACACACAAAACTATCTCCAGTGCTGCTTCTGTAAGTCTTTGGCACTAATGTGTTTAAATTGCGTGTCTAAAGGTTTTACCTGAGCATTTAAACTTGCTCGCTTTCGAAAGCAATGTTTGTATGGATTGCCTGACCAAAAGTTCCTCTGTTGTATTTGGCCCTTAGCCCTGCATTGTGTCAATCTACGCATTGAGGGCTGACCGAACAAGGCATTATAGAATGACTGGAGCATTGGGATGACATTGTGAAGAGGCAAGTTTTCTATTCAGCACACAGCCGCTTAGCCTTTGGCTGTCTTCTCGTACTTATCCACAAGAGCAGAGCGAGGCTACCGCTATCGATAGCCCCCGTCAAAGAGGCTGGTTAAAGGACAGATTGAATCCAGGTGTCGGTGAGAGCAGGAGAAGTTGTAGTTTTGATGCAGCGAGTCATTGTGATCTGCGACTGCGTTGCTGGAAAGGAAGGAGGCTGAACAGGAACTTTCGAAAGTGGGGAAGATCCAGAGTGACATTTGCTCCTAGCCTAGAATGCATCTGGATGCTGTGTTAGGAGTCTGGTGTCAGTATCACTGCTCTCTCCCCTATTGCAATCATCGAACCTTTCCCTAGCCCCAGATCAGATGCAATCCAGATTTAATTATTAACCTCCAGGATTCTCTGAGTGTCCAATCACAGGTGGGCAGGTTTTCTTTCCCTCCAGATCTTTCATAGATGATCCTCCTTCCTCAAAATTTGCTGATGATTACACGATGTTCAGCATCATTCTCCATTCGGTGTCATACAGCACGGAAACAGACCCTTCGGTCCAACCAGTCCATGCTGAACATAATCCCAAACTGAACTAGTCCCACCTGCCTGCTCCTGGCCCATATCCCTCTAAACCTTTCCTATTCACGTACTCATCTAAGTGTCTTTTAAATGTTGTAACTGTACCCACATCTGCCACTTCCTCAGGAAGTTCATTCCACATGTGAACTGCCCTCTGTATAAAAAAAAATTGGCCTCTCCATGTCTCCTTGGATACTGTAGGCTTACACACCAGTGCACGTAAAGGATCGGCTGGCCCAGAAACCGAGAGAAGACATGAATGGCCCACTTTCTGGTGGGCAGGAGGTGTGTCACAGCCTTTGAACTTGCTATGATGTGTAGACCCATGGTTGGTATTTGCTGACTACACAAGGGATCTATAAAGCAATACAGACAGGTTCAGTGAGTGGGCGAAGGTGTGGTAAATGGAGTATCATGTGGGGGGAATGTGAAATTGGCAGGAAGAATTTTTTTTTCCAGAAGAAAGAAAATTATTGAAATGATGAGAGGTTGCAGAGTTCTGAGGTGCAGAAGGATCTGGGTTTCCAAGTGAATGACTCGCAGAATGTTAGCACACAGGTACAGGAAGTAGTCAGGGAAGCTCATAAAATGTTGTGTTTTATTGTGAGGGGAATTCAATGTAAAAATAGTGAGGTTATGCTTCAGGTTATACAGGGCTTTGGTGAGACCCCATCCGGGGTACTGTGCACAGTACTGGTCTCTTAATTTAAGAAAGTATGTAAATGTATTGAAGGCAGTTCAGAGAACGTTCACCTGACTGATACCTGGAAGAGATAGCAGGAACTACAGATGCTGGAGAATCTGAGATAACAAGGTGCAGAGCTGGATGAACACAGCAGGCCAAACAGCATCAGAGGAGCAGGAAGGCTGATGTTTCGGGCCTAGACCCTTCTTCTGAAGAGGAAGGTTGTCTTATGAAGAGAGGTTAGATAAACTGGGCTTCTATCCTCTGAAGTTTCACCCTGATACAGGAAGGATATTATTAATCTGGAGAGGGTTCAGAAAAGATTTTCCATGATATTTCTGGGAGGAATGGAGGATCTGAGATATAAAAATAGGCCAGGACATATTTTCACTGGAGCATAGGATGTTGAGGGATGACCTGATGGAAGTTTATAAAATCGTGAGGGGCATTGATAAGGTGAATGACAATGGTCTTTTCCCTAGGCTGGAGGAGTTCAAAACTAGGGGGCATATTTTTAAGAACAGAGGAGAAAGATTTAGAAGGGACATGAGGGGCAACTTTTTTTTTATATAGAGAATGGTTTGTGTGCAGTATGAATTGCCAGAGGAAGTAGTGGATGCGGGTATGGTTACAATGTTTAAAAGACCTTTTATTTACGTTCATGGATAGGAAGGGTTTGGAGGGATATGGGCCAAATGCAGGGAGGTGGGACTAGTTTAGTTTGAGAATATAGTTGACATGGATTGGTTGGACTGAAGGGTCTGTTTCTGTGCTGTATGACTATGATTGCATGAGTTTAGAAGAGTTGGAGGCAACTTAACGGAAATGTATAAGATCTTGAGGGGTCTTGACTGGGTTCAGGTGAGCAGGATGTTACTGGTCATGGGAGGGTGTCGATTTAGGGGGTCACTGTTTAAAAATCAGGGGATGAGTGGCCTGCCACTAATTTGTAGGTTAGCGCATCCATACGCAGCATGATCTGGACAATATCCAGGCTCGTGCTAACAGGTAGTGAGTAACATCTGTCCCACACAGTTCCCCCCCGCAATGACCATCTACAACAAGAAAGAAACTAACCATAATCTCTTCAGTGGTATCACTGAATGCCCAATTGTCAACATCCTGAAGTTAGTTGTTGACCAGAACTAGACAGCCCATATAAATACAGTGGCTACAAGAGCAGGTCAGAGGCTGGGAATCCAGCAGCAAGTAATTCACTTCCTGACACCTCCCAAAACCTGTCCCACCATCGACAAGGCACAAGTCAGGAGTGTGATGGAATACTCCCCACTTGCTCTGGATGGGGGCAGCTCCAACAACACTTGAGAAACTCGACACTACCCAGGACAAAGTAGCCCCCGCTTGATTGGCACCACATCCACAAGCATCCACCCCATCTGCCACCAACACTCAGTCGCAGCAGTGTGTACTGTCTACAAGATGCGCTGTAGCGACTCATCAAGGATCCTTAGACAGCACCTTCCAAACCCATGACCACTACCATCTAGAAGGACAAGGGCAGCAGATACGTGGGAACACCAGCCCCCTGCAATTTCCCCTCCAGGCTACTCACTGTCCTGACTTGGAATGGTCTCCGACAATCAATTTAGAATGATGATCTCCACTCAAATAGAGTGGGATCAGTTTAGGACTATTTCAAAGTTTCTTCACCTCGATGCAGGAAGTCACTTGGTTTTCTATGATGACTGGTCAGCCATGCTCCCATCTGTTAACTTTTCTGATTGGGCAACTGACCCCAGTTGCTTTTTTGGCAATGACGATTGGTCAAGGTGATAAAGTGGTCATCTGAATGGATGGCATGCCATCCAATGATAACTGTTACTTCCTCCTTTTATATGCGGCAATGAAGAATGTACTGATGTGTGGAATTAAACTTGTAACCCTGAGGAATGGTTTCTTTGTTTATTTTGAAGTCAGTACCGCAAACTATCCTCATAGTCCCATTTTCCTGACCTGGCAACATCCTTGTAAATTTCCTGTCCTGCAGAATCGCTGCAACGAGGGCACCAGTACTGCCCACAGTGTTCATGTTATGCCCTAAATAATGGTAAGGAACAAAAAACAATACAGCGCAGGAACAGGCCCTTCAGCCCTCCAAGCCTGCGCTGACCCATTTTGACGTAGAGTTGCAACATAGACTCCCTGCTCTTATGCTTCATACCTTATTGATTTGACCTGCTCATATCTATACTCTTGATTCAATGTCCCTCACCTTCCAAATGCCTCTGTGTTCTTTCCTTACTTTGTACTTTCCTCTACCCGGTTGGGAAAGGCATTATCTTGCCATTCTCTGCATTGAATTCAGTTTGCCAGTTCATGCATATGACAAAAAGTCTGTGAGCTCATGTTAAGCCCAGTAGAGCCTCACTGGAAACTGCCTTCTGCTCCCTAAAACATCTGTCGGCCATGACAATTTCAAACACAAAGCGAAATTGCTGGAGAAGCTCGGTGGGTCTGGCAGCATCTGTGGAGAGAGCAAGCAGTGTTAACAGTTTGGGTCCGGTGACCCTTCAGAACTGATTGTAGCTAGGAAAAGGTTGGTGTATTTATGTTGGAGATTGGGTAGGGAAAGGGGAGAGGAGTAAATGGTAGGTGGAGAGGCAGCCCAGAGAGAGAGAGAAACAATTGGGCAGATAAAGGAATTGGTAAAGAGCAGGCTGGGAGAATTGATAAGCTGCTAATAGGGTCTATTAGTGGCTGACAATAGGTTGTTTGTAGTAGCAACCCATGTAATGACAAGGCCTGGTGTGTGGGGGTTGGGGTAAAGATCGAAGAAAAGATGCTCAAGCCCTGCAATTATTGAACTTGACATTGAGTCCAGAAGGCTGCAGGGTCAACCAAGTGGAAAATGAGGTGCTGTTCTTCCAGCTTGTGCTGAGCTTCACTGGAGCACTGCAGCAGGCCTGAGTCAGAAATGTTGGCCAGGGAACACAGTGCTGTGTTGAAGTTACGGGTAACAGGAAGTTCAGGCTCATTTTTGTGGGCAGAACGTAGGTGTTCTGCAAAGCGATTGCTGCACTTCGTCTCCCGAGTGTAGAGGAGACCATATTGCGAGCAGTGAATACAGTAGACCAGATTGTGAAGTGCAGGTAAATCACAGCTTCACCCTGAAGGTGCGTTTGGCACCTTGGATAGAGAGGAGGGATGAAGTAAACAGGTAGGATTTGCATGGAAAGGTGGTGTGGGCAGGAGAGGAGCAAGTGGATCAAGATGCAGAGGCTACAGTCCCTGAGGAAGGCTGACGAGGGAGGTGGGGGGAGCATGTGTCTGGTACTGACATCCCATTACAATTACACCATTACCAATGCAAATAGTTCCCAGCTACTGAGCCATTGGCAGTGAAGTGCTTGGACTTTGCAAATGAAATTGCTGGTGGCCAAATCTGCTAACTCTTTTAATGAAATTCACGAGTGTGGTCTGCAAGCGTTTCTTTCATTTATAAGGTGAAAGCAGGTTTGTTAGAAAAATGTAATTTTTTTTAAAAAAACGTCAACGGTTGAGAAAATTAAAACGTAGGCGTGATGCCCATTCCAGTGGAATAGCATCTGAAAAGGCGCTGTTTAAGCGCCACCAGCAGGCTAAACGGGAAGCTGCAGTTCACCCGACACCGCCACCTCGTGGCGAGGATGAGGATGTACATCGGTCACTGCGCCACTCAGCGGCGAATTGAGAACACAGATCTGAGAGATTGTGTGCCAGTGGAAGTGTGAGGGAGCACGTGTGAAAGAATGTGTAAGAGGGACCCTGTATGAGAGTTTGAGAGTGTGTGAGAAAGAGACAGTGTGTGAGAGAGTGTGCAAGAGAGAACGTGAGACAGTATGAGTGTGTGTGTGAGTGAGAGATGGTGAGAGAGAACGAGATTGTGTGTGTATATAAAGAGTGTGCCTATGTGGGAAAGTATGTGTGAGCGAGAGTGTATGTGAGAGAGATGGTGGTGTGCATGAGAAAGTGGGTGAGTGTGCAAGAGAGTGTATCTATGAGAGAAAGAATGTATGAACGAGAACTGTGTGTACGAGTAACAGTGTGAAAATGTGTAAAAGTATGTTTGTGTGCGTGTGTGTAGGTTAGTATGTATCAGAGTGAGAGTGATGATCATAGTCATACACCATGGAAACAGAACATTCAGAGCAACCAGTCCATGCCGACCATAATCCCAAACTAAACTAGTCCCTCCTGTCTGCACTTGTCCCATATCCCTCCAAACATTTCTTATTCATGTACTTATCCATCTGTCTTTTAAACGTTGTAACTGTAACCACATCCACCACTTTCTCTGGAAGTTCATTCTAGACA